GATTTTCTATTCATTGATATCTATGTATGTATTTGTTATTTTTGATAAATACACATCATTATTCTTCATACATTGGATTTATCCGGATTTTTGTTATCCGGATGCCTATCGACAACAATTAGTCTGGTTAATCGAGGTTCAACTTTCTAATTTGAATCTTATATTAATCACACCGGTTTACTGGATATATTAGGTTACAGTTACTAAAAAAAAAGTTATTGGTGCCAAAGTCGATTTTAAATTCATTCATATCTTTAAAACGTAATACTACATTGAAATATTTAATTAATTTGAATGGCAAAATAAAACTCTACTACAAGAATTTGTGTTCAGAAATAATTAATAGCTTTGAGTTTGAGTTTGAATAAATCTTCGAAGAATCTTAATTTTTTGAAAAATGACATTGCTATGAATTTAATCAATTCTTCATTCTATTAATACAAAAAAATGTTTTTTGAATCAACCAAATCGGGCGCTCTGTTCTCTCAAAAATTGAATTGTAATTTTTTGCACTTTTTGCTCCGTATCCTCGAAACGGCTGGACCTGCCTTAGGCAAAAACTAATCAGCACGTCTTTCTATCAATAGGAAATGTATGATTTTTAAATCATTTAAATCGGTTTATCCGTGCTCTCGAAATCGTCGACGAAAATTTGTCGACATACGTCATACTACACAAACACACATACATCCATTTTTTCTAAGTTATGCCAAAATTTTCGTGTTTTTTGCGATTACTATAACTTACTCTACGAGAAGTTAATAATTATATAAGATTGTATTATAATATGTGAGTTCTGAGATGCTTAATAAAATTTATTATTTCGTTGAAGAAAATTTTTAGTACAGTTTTATACATTAAATTTTTCCATTTATTAAGTATTTTTTGCTAATTTTATAATCGCATTATAATTGAAGTTAATGTGTTATATCAGGGCTTCTTAAACTTTTGTCCTTCGCGACCCCATTTACGATTGCGAGTTTCTTGGCGACCCCAGTTATGATTGCAAGTTTCTTGACGACCATACATATATAAAAATAAAATTATTAATTTTAAATGACTCATTTATTTGGTAATATATAATATACATATACCTACATATGAAAATATATAGTTTAAAAATTCGTTGATAACATACAAAAATCGAGACGTGATGTTATAAAATGATATAAATATTTGACAATAAAATCTGTCATGACTCCAGAATTGTCTCATGCGACCCTATTTGAGGTCGCGACCCATAGTTTAAGAAGCCTTGTGTTATATTTTTGATATGGGAGAAAAACGTTATATTGTGAGGCTAATTAACAAGACTGACAATGAAATAGACAAAATGATTTTTTTGTATAGAACTCTGACTGCCAAATATTATATACCAAATAGATAGATTTACAAAATTCACATATATCAACAACTCTGGGTATGTTTGCATACAAACTATATTTTTTTAATTTAATTGCGCTTCTAATCTAATCTGTATTTATCGCCATAGTAATAAAGAAATTGATTTGAAATATGTGGAATAATCACTTCGACATACAAGGCTATAGATAGCTTATATAAATATTGTCTCAATATAGGCATTAAATTAAAATTTAATATAGGGAGCAATTAAATTATTTGTGATAATGATAAATAGGTAGAAATAGATTCTTGGTTTTACGCAAGTTGAATTAATTAATTGATAACATATGATTTAGAAACTTTAATTATAAGTTTAAGATATATTATTTTCATTTTTATAATATTTTTCTCCAATTGCTAATTGTTTTTACTATAATTTCTTATCCCCGACCGTTTGTACTCTAAACAATTAAGATTTCAGCGCCAACAATGCTCGAACGTTTTGTCATGGACATAGATGCATGGCGTTCTAACATGTTATTAATAACATAAATAAATCGTACGTGCCATACAAAGTTTTCAAGTTCGTTGCGCAAATTCAGTGGTCTGAGTTATCTATTATTCTAACATTTACGAAACATAAATTATGGTTCCAGCATGAACAGAATAAAGATAAGCAATTTGTGCAAAAACGCGCTTTCAAATGGCCGCTCGTTTCAACACTATCTAAATCGTTTCGGTTTTCATGGATTAATTAATAATTGACAACGGAAAGAGTGAGATGTTTTTACACGAATTAATGTGGCATAAGTTTTATCTTTAAAAATATTTTTTTCGATTTGATGTAATTAGTTTTGTGTAAATATTTATGATTATAGCAGTTGCAAGAAATGGGATCATTCTTAACAATTTGGGGTGAATATGTTTTCATACGTGTATTAAAAGTTTTTAGTTTAGATTATTTATTTGGTTTTTGTGGTAATTCCAAAAAAATATAGGTGGTAGTGTTGCCAAACGTCGTCAGAAAGAGAATTTATTTTGTCGCAAAAATATTAAAAGAACTAAAGAGTACATAGAGCTGAGAAATGAAAGGTGAGGTATTGAAAAAATTATAAAACAAAAATTGTCTAAATAAAAATAATTCATTATATTCATTCTTAAAGTAGTGATATAAATGCCAGACAAATTTTTAGAACAGAGATATGTACTATTGTTTACCTCAAATTTAAATCTGCTGATGAATACACATGGTGAAAATTAAAATTAATTTTAAATTGTATCATATTTCATTTTCGTGTTCATGGATTTTTTTAAATTAAAATGTGTTGTCAGAATTTATCAATATATATATATATATATATATATATATAATAATAAAGTAAAACATGCATCGAAATATTATTTTAAATATTTTAGAATTAAATGTATGTTAACATTTGCATGTATTTTTTTGTATTTTTGCAAAGAATTCTGCATACATACTCGTAGTTCATATGGTATAGAGATAGACCATTAATTTTGATTAATAACTCAATTAAAATGTTATAATAATTTCCAGAAACAAACGTTGATATATTTTACTATGAAAATGATATACTATCTTTTATATACCACGGATGAAATATTTTTTTTTACAAAAACTCGCATTCGGAATATATATATGTATTCGCGTTGCTGCACTTGTTATATATTGCCGAGCAGATTGCACGCCACTTATGTTTAATGTAAAACTGCTCATAGCTATATAGTGCATAATGGCCATTGTCGTTAGACAAAAAAGCAATATTTCAGCTCGAAAGAGATATGCTATTTGAACTCGGGAAATGTTCACATTTCATTTGCGGACATGGAATATTAAAATCCTTCAAAATTCATACGGGATTTAGAAAAATGGACCATGTTTTAAAAATTAGATGAGGAATTAGAGCCAAATACAACAAAAGAATACAATTTAGAACAAAAATTAGTATAGAGTAAGGCCAATTTGACTTTTAGTTAAGTGAACTATATTGCAATACATAACACATATCAAACGAACCACTATCGAAATATGTTCAGTAAAATCCCAGTTAATTTCTAATTATGTAAGAGTATGTATGTATGTATTTTTACTATTTTTATAAAATTTGTCATCTGGTCCCTTTTGCTCTACAGGTGGGTAGAAGAGACAGCAATGTCTCATTTTTAATTTCAAAATAGTTTAAACGCAATAATAGTTATATTAATGAACTAATGTAAAATACAAATGTACCTTTTAATTTACTTTTTTCTTATTATTCACACCTTTATCAGTATAAAAGTTCAGTTGGTCCTCTGTACCTCAACCACATGTAAGCTTTTATAGAGGTTGTATGAAAACTGTAAAATCTCATATAGAAATAACACTACATTTTCTAAAACAAATATTATTTATTTGTGAACTTGAACATTATATTCAAGTATCAAATTAAATAAAAGAGCTCAATATCAAATTAATTAACAACGAAAAAAAAGTTATGTATTGAATATTGATACATGTCCGTTTATCTTCTGATGACAACATCATAAGAATTAGGGCGATGGCTGGTTACAAATCTTTTTCCCTCTTCTTCAGTAAATCAGTATACTTATCAGTAAATTTTCTACTTTACTTGTTTTTGAGATAATGGTAGTGGATCCTAAGCTAAATTAATATGCTATAATTAACATGGAGTAATATTAGTGATGTATTATAATAGAAAGACAACGTTATTAACTTCCCGTAGGGTAAGTTATAGTAATCACAAAAAAATCAAAAATCAAAATTTTTATATATTTTTACGTTTCAAAAGTTTCTGAATATTTTAGCATACCTTAGAAAAAATGGATGTATATGTGTATGTACATGTATGTGTGTGTGTGTGTGCGGATACAATTTTTTGTCGACGATTTCGGGAACACCAATCAACTGATTTGAATAATTCAAAAAACATTCTATTTGTGTTGATAGGAGATACGTGCTGATTAGTTTTTGGCGAAGGCAGGTCTAGGCATTCCGAAGTTACAGGGAAAAAAGTGCCAAAAACGGTAACTCAGTTTTTAAGAGAACGGAGCGTCCGATTTTAATAATTCAAAAAACATCTTACTTGTATTGACAAAATGAAGAACTGATTAAATTTTTGGGAAGTCATATCGAGCGGTTATGCACTCTCAATGAAAATGAGTTAAAAAAATGTCATTTTGTGGTCAAAAATGTTTATTGGATATATGTACATTAAATTATCAGATAATAATGTGTACACATTTTGTGTAGATTTTTTTGGGTTCCGTACCAAGATTTTTAATTACGGTATGGAAAGTTCAAGCAATTTGCCTTAAGGCACGATTCCATGCACCCCACTACTTTAATTTTAGCAATAACTAATGATACATATATAGAAGAGAAAAATAATAATAAATATATGCAAAAAACTGCAATAACAGTATTACCAGATGTGCCACCTGAACTCAGCGTATATATTCGCGATTTGATTCAGTAAAATGAGCACAGACTAATAATGTTTGAGTTCGATTATTTGATTAATAAAAAAACACTTCCATATAAAGGAGACACACCATTGAAATGGAACAGCTTTCTCTTCTGTACATTAATTTCATTCATTTATTACCGTGATTTTTATATTTTTTCTCCTTTCTAGGATGCTCCAACGAGCTCAGGAAACGGAACACATCAATATCAACTGCGTGGATCCATTAGGAAGGTCTGCACTGTTGATGGCCATTGACAACGAGAATTTGGAAATGGTAGAATTGCTGATCACGCACAAAGTTGATACTAAAGACGCACTATTACACGCCATTTCGGAAGAGTTTGTGGAAGCCGTCGAAGTATTACTAGATCACGAAGACACCATACATAGGCCGGGAGATCCTCATGTAAGTAGATCAGGATAAAAACTTTGATTTGTTACAACATTATAAAAATTTGCATAATATTAAATATTACATTTTTTTCTATCAATTTATTATTATTGATTGCGATAATTACATACATATTCATATATTAATTTATTGCAAAATTTTATTATATATGTCAATATGAAAATTGCTTTCAAACTTTATTTATTAATTAGTTATTTTTAAACAAATATTAACAAACTAATATTTAATCCCAAATTATGTGTTTATGAGAGTCATTAAACATTTATCAACACGCGGTCAAAGCAAGCAAAATTGATGTTGTTTCTGAAGTCACGTAACTCAAGTGTTTAAATTAACATAAATAAACTTTGAGTAAGAAGACATGCAATTAATAGTTCAAGTTTTGTGTACGTCATTTGTGAAGCTACAAAGTTATTGCAGTCTTGTAATACAATTAAGTCTTCTCTTAAGTTTTGAAATGAGTTCGAAGTAATGGATTTCTAAATGTTAAATATAGTTTTAATCATGTTCACTTGATCGAAGTGTAGAAATTATTAAAAGTAACACAAAACGGTTACTAGTGTAGAAATTATTAAAAGTAACACAAACGATATTATGTTAAATACGGTTTCATTATAAATATTACACTAAATGTGTCTTTTTACAAAGTATGAATTTTAAAGTAGGGTAGAGCGCAGCTTAAAGCTCCGAAGTTAAAAACATCCACCAATATTTGAAAGTAGCGGAAAAAAGAAAAATGGCAATGTTTGAAAACCCAAAATAAAAGTATTTTTTTCGTTGTTAGTTTTTTGGTTGTGAGCACTTTTTTATATCACCTCACGTGGGTGGAGTAAAAAGGACCAACTAAATTTCAAACTGAAATTCAAATATTAGACCTGTCCCTTGGCTGTTCCATTTTAGCTCGCCTATGACGTAAAAAAGCAATTGCTTAAAAAATATTCTCTATTTTAATAACTTCAAAAATTTATAGAAACTACGAATAATATCGAAATAATTTCTAATCAATAAACTTATGTTTGTTTGTTTTATTATTTTCAACGAGCAGGGTAAAATATTCTACTGATTCAGGCATTTTTCATTAAATCAAGATTGGTACTACGATGTTACTTTAAATTGTTTATTTATCTATGCCGATTTCCTTGTTGGTATCGGTACGCATTCAACGTTGAGGCTGGCACGCATACAACGATAGATCTCTATCCACATACGCGACGCCTAATCACAATCGACCCGTATAGAAATGAGATATCATCGAGAGCGAATGACGAATCATTGGCCCTCGACTGTTATCTTATCGATTCTTATTTGCCGTAACTCACTTCCGTTGCATTTGTACGGATTTACACCCTAGTTGCGCCTGAAGAAGTTTTTTTCAAAAACATATTTTTACAATGATGAACTGCCTTCGAGTTATTTGTTTGATTTGTGTTATTTGTTGTGATATAATTGATTTGATTTTTACAATATAATTGCTTAAAGTCAAATTGGACTTTTGTTTACCACCCTACCCTATACATTTATTACGTTAAATGTCTTATTATATAAATTTATAAACATATATTGCTTTACCTCATATGCATTCTGTAACATTTAACATATTGTTACACAAAAGTTGTAATTTTGTTATAATATTATTCAGATATGTATAGAGTATAACAACATTAATATCAACACATTTCGAATGCATGGATATGCTAAACAGTGTTATTTAAAATCTTTACAGTTTATATGCGCATATTTGGAGTTATTCCAAAGCTTCATCCAAATATGAAATTCTCTCTTGTTTAGAAATAAAATAAACTTAATGAAATGAAACAAAATGATTTGAAACAAAACCCAAGAAGTAATAATAAATAATACTGTAATAATGACAAAATTTACTCATTTAAAAATCACGAGGAAAGAATAATAAATATAGATATTATTACATCGTACTAGTAACCATGTGTTTCAACCAGTAGTACTATCGCAGAATCATGTGTCTAAACCAATTTAGTTCACTTTGTAGTTTATCATTCTGCATCAATGTGCATAAATTGGAGCTGAAAACGTATATAATATTCAATTTCCATGTATTCAATTCGCAGAGCTGGGAAGCCTTGCCTCCAGACACCGCAACATTCACGCCTGATATTACGCCATTGATATTGGCTGCTCATCGGGATAATTACGAAATTATCAAGATATTACTCGATCGAGGAGCTACTTTACCAATGCCGCACGATGTCAGGTGAGATTTAAAATTTTGATTAAATTTGCACCTTGCATGCATAATATAGGAAATCAATTAGTCTAGTAACTGCAATGTAATGATGAAACCTTTGTTTCTTATAACTAAGTGTATTTTTTAATACATTGTATAATTAATATAATATTGATAATACGACTGATAATGAGATTAATTGGATTTTTTTCAAGGTATGAAAATTCTGAATTTTAACCATTATCTAGATTAACTTTTAGTACTACATAAATTAGTTTTTATATCACCAAAAATCTAGTTTTTATATCATTATTACATGAGATAATTTAATTATGTTATATGAGGTAAGAGTATTTAAGAAATATTAATTCTTCTCGCGACTGAGAAAAACTTATTATTGGAACTGCATTACCTAGTTTCTACATCATGAACCAATTGACTTTATGAAAATAAATATTTAAGAAATGTTTTGGGAACTAATATATCAGGTACACAACTAAGTAAGCGTTGGATTTTTGTCAGAAAATCAGACACATTTTTTTATGGAATTAAATAACTTTATTCTGAAATGCATTGTTCATTTCGATCACTAATTTTTGTCTTTGTTTAAAATTGTGACCTTTTTTAAATTCATGGAGTTTTATAAAGATCGAATATAAAAGTAATCAGATGGCGTAGGCTGTAGGTAGGACTATATGGTGGATGTGGCAAAACGGAGTCAATAATGGAAAAAGTCACCGTTTCGACTTGCTAATTCTGGTCACTTTTGCCACTTTTGCCACTGCTTGGTTTAATTTTGTTAGTTCTTTATTATAAACATAAGAATTGCTCATACGGTTGGTAATAACAGTTGAGAGTGTACAATTATGACACTGCATTTTCTTAAGGCTTCATTACCATAAACGACGTTTAACTTTTTATGAGCTTAAGATGCCTTATAAACATAAACAAAAAAAGATGCCTTTTTACCTGTGCAGAAATTAAAAAGCAAAATATTACAAAAATCCTAGATTTGGTTATCCATCTTTCAACAAACGTCAAACGAAAACTACACAATCGACCAAGCAACTCTTTTTTACAAATTGACAGTTGAATTGCTAATTTACCAGTTACAAGAGGTTTTTTTTCATTTAGACGACGTCAGTATACTTAAAAATTCAGTCGAAACCATCTAAGAGTGATAGCCTTATTTAGTTGGTAACCTAATAAAAATATTATGAGACAATTTATAAAACGATTTTAAAGAGGAATATTGCAATTGATATCCAAATATGCAAACCAGAATCACCAATTTTTCAATCTTTTTTCTCTATTATTTTCAAGATAAATGATATGATATTATTTGATGATAACGTGAAGCACACAAGAAATTTTTCTATTTCATTCTGTAGTTGTTTTGTTTCTAGTACGAAATAGTAAAACAATGAAAATTCAAAACTAAAAATGATATTTTTAGACCTCAACGAGTAATATATAATTATAATAACAAAATCATTTGTGAATCTTCAAAAAATATACATGGAAACTACACTTTTCCAAAAAATTTACATAGAAATAATTTTAGAATATATTGTAGATTTAACTTGTAGTATATAAATACATAAAATAAGGATAAAATTTCATTTATCTGCCTACATTGAAAATTGTAAAATACATAAAAAAATATATTTTAGTTTTAGTACCTTTAGAGTTTTTTTTACTCTACATTGCATCAAACAGATTAAAATGATCAGTAAGTTTTCTTTATAACCTATTTATAAATAAAAATTATTATTAGATTAAAAACCAGTATTCTCATATATATTACTTACTATTTTATTTCATAATTGAGTCATAGTTTCTCCCTAATTTCAGATGCGGATGCGACGATTGCGTGACCTCACGGTACGAGGATTCTCTGCGGCATTCGCGATCTCGGATAAATGCCTACCGGGCTCTCGCCAGCCCTTCGCTGATAGCCCTCTCATCCAAGGATCCTATACAGACCGCCTTCGAATTGTCTTGGGAACTGAGACGTCTCAGCTTTCTGGAGCACGAGTTCAAGGTTTGTGTTTTGTATTTTGTTTTGTATCAGCACTTTCAAACATTTAATGGAATTATATTCAAATTGGTCTTATTACTTATTAGTAAAAAAACTTTTCTGTTGGTTTTATTAAATTAAATTTATATAATTAATTTCATTAAATACTACCCTTATTAACTTCCCGTAGGGTAAGTTATTGTAATGGGCCGAAAATCGGCATTGAAATTTTTTACATTTCTCGACGTTTTGAAGGTTTCTGAACGTTTTGGCATACCTCAGAAAAAATGGATGTGTGTGTGTGTGTGTATGTGTGTGTGTGTGTATGTATGTATGGATACAAATTTTCGCCCACGTTTTCGGGCGTACGGATCAACCGATTTGAATGGTTTAAAAAACATTCGATTCCTATTAATAAGGAGAAGAGCTGATTAGTTTTTGGCAAAGACAGGTCCAGCAGTTACGGAGATAAGGAGTAAAGAGTGCAGAAAATATAAATCGAGTTTTTGAGAGAACGGAGCATCCGATTTGAATGATCTAAAAAGCATTCAATTAGTAATGATTGGGAGAAGGGGTTATTAGTTTTTCGCAAAGGCAGGCCCAGCCATTACGGAGATACAGAGCTAAATGTACAAAAAATGGCAGTTTTTGAGAGAACTAAGCGTCCGATTCAATTGATTCAAAGAACTTTCTGCTTGTCTTAACAAAATAATTGATTTTGGAAAAAAAAAAATTTTGTACTATTTTTTTTTTTTTTTTGACTTTTTGTATATCGAAAATAATTCAGATTTTATTTTTAATTCTGACTATAGTTCTAATATACTTTAAAGAAATAATTTTATCTCTGCAATTCAGTTTATATAATTCTTATAAATATTAGACAATGTTACAATATTTATAATAATCTATTTGAAAACATTCAATATTCCTCGAACATTTCGTTACGGTACGGGAAGTTCCAGCAATTTGCCTTAAGGCACGATGCCACCCAACCCACTAGTTTTTTTTTAAATTACTAGATGACCCGACCGACGTTGTCCTATACCCATTACATATTCATAATATGCTGAAAAAATGATTTTAATGTATATGAATATGATTTTACCGTATTAAAAACTCGAATTTTTTGTATAAATTTTCTTTTATCCTCTACCAAGGTGTCAGTAATATTCATACAGGATGTATACACGTCTCGCTCTGATTAATCATTGTTTCCTGAAGGCTTTATATAAAAATCTGAGTTTCCGTAGTATCTTCATTAACAAACCACTATTTTGCATATAGCATCTGTATTAGTGCAAATATATGCTTTTCGAAAGCTACAGCGCCACTGAATGTCCCTAAGGTAGCGCCGGTTTACTTTTGCTTGGCGTCCTGATTTACGTCCCCGCATTCGCGTGTGTGCTTTGTCTACACATTTACTAAACGTTGGATACTACAAAGCTGGCCACTCAAGCGTATGTAATTGCAAGATAATAGGGTATCTTTAGGACTTGCGTCTATAAAATGATCTTTAATGTTTCTTCAAATTATATAAAAACACGAAAGTTAAAAGGAGGACAGAGCTTCTGATTCTCATTTTCGAAATATTAGATTTTATATATCAATTTTATTCAGGTTTTATATAAAATTTTATGATGCATAAATACGTTTAAATCAAGAAATGATTAACGGTGTTAATATTATTTATTTATTTATAAATTTATTATATCATGCTTATGCCTTCCACAATGTAATGGTTAAGCTTACGAACTCGTGTGGACTTAAACCCTGCTCTTGACATGTTCATCTTTATGTTCATCTTTACGTGAAAATGTTGATTGTAGATACTAGATATGTTTCCAATTAAAAATAGCCCATTTTGGGCACTTTGGTGTGAAATTGTACATTATTCTTCACTTAGTTTGAGTTGATGTTTAACTAAGCCCACGGACCTGCCCTAGGGCAGTATCACCCACTATTCATTCATATTTATACTACTAGTACGACACTGCTTATAAATTTATTTATTTATTTATTGAATTAATTATTTATTAACATAATAAGCGGAATAAGAAAGAGGATAGAGGTATACAGAGAAAACTTGATTTTGAAGTGGAGTTTCTAATAGTCAACGATTAAATCGAGACAAAGAATTAGGTTTTAGAATTGAAAACAAATTATTTTATACATATTCTTATGCTAATGTTATTCAATTTGTATAAAAAACTAAATATCAAGCTCGAAAACTTTTATATTTTTATGTTTAGGAATCAATTCTCGAATAATAGGTATAGAAATGTTATGGTAATGTTATGTTACAGGTCTATAATTGTATGAGCTGTCACAAATTGTGAATGATCTGTATTTGCTATGTGATCAGACACATAAAACCTAACCTCCAAAACGCACAAATGTCAAATAACAGTATTATAGTAAGTGCATCTTTCTGATTTTCACTTTGATAACATCTATTAAATAATATCTATCCAAAGTTAAATATATGTTGTTTGGGTGTTTTGGAGGTTAGGTTTTATGTGTAAAAGATCTGATCGCACAGCTTTTTGAGAGTTTGTGACAGTTTATACACCTGTTACATGAAATAGAAATAGAAATAGAAATTATTTTATTTGAGAATTGGTTTCTTAAATATTTTGAGCATTCAAATATTCAAATTAAATACTTTAGCATTATGAAAATAACTAACAAGTCCTAAAAATGGTGGGAAAAACTAATGTAATAACTTATATTGATGAAAAAATCGTATTTATATTTTAATAATTTTATAAATATAACATGGAAAATAATACTAAAGTTTTCTGTACAAGATAAAAAATTATTTACAAAAATAGAGATTCTTTCAAACTCTATTACCATGTAAGTAAACTTAAATAAGTTTGTATCACTTCTACAACTTTTTTTCAGTCACATAGTAAACTCATTCATATTTAATACAGAGTATGAAACTCCTGTATTAGCATTGTTACAGAAACTAAAAGATTTGATTTAATACTATATATTCTTAAACTTTTCAAATACTAACGTATCGAAACTTTTAAATGCAGACTATAAGTTAGAAGCACAGTATATAGTCCGTGGATAAATTTAATTCTTGAAGCATTATATATATACTTTATATGCTCCGAAATATGATCATTAAAAACTAATGCGCCATTAAGCTAACTTTGAAAAAAGTAAAAATAATTACTTCATTTTTTGAAGGATATATGGGACTTTTTTGAATTGAAGTTTAAAAATTGACTCTTTATTTATAAAAATATGTTTAATATATATAAAATATATTTAGTTAGGAATAACTTTTATAGTTTTTACCTAAATATTATACACTTTTTATGAAAAGGTTCATTATACCAAAATATATTTTACGTAACATTTAATTTTGACTGATCTAATTTTTTTATATTAGATAACATTTAGATTGTTTTTTTTATATAGTTTTAACAGCAATCAGAACTCTTTACTTTATATATTCTATAAGCTGTATTTAGATAGGTCGCATAAAATGTATGATAAATCAAGAGTTTAAAGCAAATTTGAAATTAAAACAAAATCATTTGGTGGTCATCAGTTGAAAATTCCATTTAAAATTTTTAAAGTATATTGTGCAACGCAATTATTTATTATAAACATAATATTAACAAATAGAGGTTGAATTGACGCTTCTTACATGAACATGATGTTGTCTTAGCACGTGCAAGGACCACTTTGTACCTTGTGTGCAACTCCGAGGTGTTCGTACTGTTCTGGAGTCATTCCCAAATAATCTTTAACTGATGCTGCATTTGCATCACATTGCCTGACCATTCTCAATATGTCTTCATGTCCAAGTAAAGAGGCCACATGCATAATGGTTCTTCCCGAGGCATCGCGAATATTTATAATATCGACACCAGCCAGTTTGTAACTTCTAAGTTTATTTATGTCACCTAGCTCGGCGGCTGCCACGACCAGAATTCCGGTGTTGACATCATTTTGTATCCCTGCACCAGCCATGACTAAATGGTGAATTATCATTTCGCGTCCATTATCGATTGCATCCTGTAATAATTATAATTATAATACATTTTGATAATTATGCACTTAAATTTTGTTGAAAGCACATTGTTTAGTAATGTAATAGTCGAGGTATTTAAGAATTTGCGTTTTATTTATTAAACAATATAGACAAAATATAATAATAAATTTACCAAAACTATTATCTTGTTAATTTACTGAATTAGAAAAAAATGGACCAGAGATAGTGTTATGGATTGTAATGATTTTGATAAAATAAACGACTTTTTGAAAATATTTAAACAAAAGTTGATATATGTATAAACGTCGGTGAGGTTTCCTGAATTTATTCACTCAATTCAATAGGTCTTATGGACCAATTTGCGGATAAAAGAGAAATGGTAATATTATGCTACGGATCTATATTCGTATGAGTTGGTAGTAACGAACTATTAAAAAACTATGTATTTGCTGTGCGATCAAGCATAGCATACATAAAACATCAGAAAGTTGCACTTATGATAAAATAATTTTTGGATAGTTATGATAAAATAGTTTTTGCATTTTGTAGGTTAGGTTTTATGTGCAAAACACACGATAGCTTTTTAACAGTTTGATACTACCAACTCAAATAAATATAGGTCCCTAACATAGCATTACCTTAACATTTCTATTTGATTTGAGCATTGGCCTATTAGTTTTTCAGACAGTTTTACTTAAAATTTTTCCATATTTATATTCGTAGAGATTCGCTCATTAAGAAATAAATTATAATGTAAAATACATAAATTAGTTTAATAAAAATATTTCGCTAAATTTTAACAACAAAATTATATGGAATCTTTAATGAATGATATAATACCTGATACGCTAATGATATCTAATTTTAAAATCATCAACTATCGAAAAAAATCTTATAATCTGTTTCATGAAATTTCAAAACTGACCAGCTTTAAGACTATTTCAATTACCATCAAAGGTGTTCTTCCCTTATGATCAGAAGGCTGAACGCAAGCTCCTCGATCAATAAG